TTGTGCAAAATTTAAGAAAATTCTGCAAAATTTCATTAAAATAATTCACTTTCTATTTACGCTCTCTAGAAAAAGTTTTTTAGCCCATTCAATTTTAGTATAATGAAGTGCAAGTGTGAGGAAGCTAGGACTTACCAAACAACAAAAAAAAAAAAATTGCTAAATATCAATGGTAAGTCCCAGCTACCTCAAACTTGCACTTTGTTATACTAAAATTGAATGGGCTAATAACTGACTACTTAACTTGTTTCTAAAGAGTGCAAATTGCAATACTTGGATGGAAATTCGCAGAGTTTTCTTTAATTTTGCATACGGTTTGGAACTCTGATTTTTGGGGTTTTTGGTGTAGAATTACCCATATTTTTATAAAAAATTTGGGAAAATTAAAATATTTAAAAAATAGTTGCCGGTATTGTAAAAACTTCACTGTACCTAAACTTAATTGACTGGCTGTATATCTTATTTAAGTTAAGTACGACAAAAACTTTCGAAGTACTTCATATACATATAAGCTTAAAAGGAACTGAATTTACTTAAAAATCAATATGCTTAAATTTAGACAATTAAGACAAAGTGAACTAATATTTTTACTTTTAAGCAGAACGCACTTTTGTTTTTTACTTACTACTTAAGTTTAATACTACTACTACTACTAATGTGGTCTATAAAATTTTAATAAATGCGTTTAAACATTTGTGATTGTATTGTCCTTCCTTCAACCGATCGTATTTAATATAGAAGGGAAATGCTTCGACAAGCCTGATTAGAAATATAGATCTAAGGTGACGAATTTATAACAGGTTGGGAACTACATATTAAAAATAGATGCAGATCGAACTAGATCTCATCTGTCGAATTAGGAACTGGTTTGGAACTAAAGAAAAGGGGATGCAGAACGAACTAGATCGCATCTTTCGAATTTGGAACTGGTTCGGAACTATAGAAAAAGGGATGCAAAACGAACTAGATCTTATCTGTCGAATTTAGAACTGGTTCGGAACTAGAGCCAAAGGGATGCAACGGGGGACAATTGACATTTCCTAGGACATCGCAATGTTAAACTCGCCAGTCGCTAGCATGCAAAAGAGAATTAACGCGAACTAGTCATGGTTCCAAACGCACTAGAACCGAACCAGTTCCGCACTAGTTCGTTTCCCTACAGGGCAACTGCGCACTTGGAACGCTGGCGGGTGGAGCACTCAAATATTTGGGGGCTAGATGTCAATTTGTCGTATTTAAGTTTTGTTGTATAAATTCATGAATTTTTCCAACATCCGGCATGGGCTGAAAATCGTACTTACCAAAGGGCTACATGCCCAAAAACATTGCTACGTGTCCCTATTTAATTAAACTTCGTTTATTTATGAATTCCTGCAGAATTGGATTATTCAATAATGATATTAACACATTTCTCCGCATTGTTTACATATTTTCCTATGCGTTTTGACATTTCTCTCTCGCAATTGCACCAAGATGACGTCACGCAAAAATTTCGCTCAAAAATCTTCTCTCATGGGCGCGATCTTGTATTCTATCATTCATAATATAAATTACCTGTCGTCTCGTGGACGTAACGAATGCGGGCGAGTGCTCACTTTTAATATGTTAAACCACTAGACAGCATGTATCGAAATGCAGATCTCTCTCGCATTGCCTCTGCTGCTGCCCCAGATTTTATTCTTGACATTAGCATAACAGCAACGGATCAATTCATAATCATATGGAAAGTTCAGGGACCTGCCAATTGACTATTTCACTTTGAAGGAAAAAAAAGCAGCGGAAACTGAATATTTAAATATTTTAAAGGGCTAACTATAATATGAATAAGCAAGCGTATGCAAACGTGCAAATACACATAAATCCTATTCTGAAACTATAATGTACATTTGCTTAAGGAAAGAGTGATACTGATCGCACCTTCCGTACGGAATCAGCTGTTTGTCCTCGTACGTATGTATGTACATATGTAACACATGCAGTGTTGCCGCATTTATATTTTTTTACCGAAATTGGTAATTTATTTCTTTATTTATCATATTTGGTAATTTGGTAACTTATTTTTCAACTTGGTAATTTTTTCGATTCAGTCCTACATGTAACACAGGTCAAAAGAAGTTCTGGTTCCACATTAGGAAGTGGGCCGTAAGCGCTTGCTTTTACAGAAACACCAGGTAATCCTGAAAGTTTCGCAAGGCGAACAGTTCTTCGGCGTTTCTAGGTTACTATAATTGTGTCATCTACAACAAACTGCTTGATAGTGGCTATTGTTATATCTAATTAAATGTGGCAACACTGAGCTCATGTAAGTAAATATAGCCACCTAAAAGTCGACACTATGTTGCTTATGCAAATGACAGACTTTTCGTTCATTTTCTGACAGTCAGTTACGTCAGCTTATTCATATTATAGTATCTCTTTTCTTATCCAAATCTATAACTATATATATATATATATATATTCTTATCTTCTGCTCCAATAATTTTAATTCGTATATATGTATGTAGTTTTGTGTATGTTTAAGGCAAATTTTCTGTTTTAAAACTAAGTATTCACATGCACTGTAATTTAAAACCTCTGGTTGTTGGGCATGTACTTTAATAAATAAAATCAAATAAATAAATAGTTAGCCCTTAACTTTCCCATGGAATAATTTTTTTCAGAACCATTCCATCCGACTCTGAAGAATTTTGGATAATTGCTTACGGAGTGAAAACCGCAACCGGCAATAAAATGTTTGGAAATAACTATAAGTAAAGTGGCCTTCATATTATTATCCTTGCCGCACTCATATGCTTTTGTTGAGCGCGTTTTTCCGTAATGAATTCAACAAAAACTAAGGTTCGAAATAGGACGAGGTTGGAAAGCCTTAATTCACTAGTTCGAATAAAGTGTTATATGAAGGCTAATATTTTCTGCTGCAAAACGTTTCCAATATCAAACAATATACTATCAAGGTTGAGTTATTATAGGTTTCTATTTTATTTTTAGCGCCAAGCTCTTAAAAGGGGATTGTACGATTAATCAATTAATATGAGTTATGATGAATTTAATAATTGCGGAGTCCTATTGCAAAATGTGTTGAAACAAGTATTTTTAAAAAGTATACGTATTTTTTAAGAATTGTTTGTACTTCACTATTATACATA